AAAAAATAGACAATAGGTATATATGAAAAAAAATTTATTTTTATTTCATTTTTACAATACAATATGGAAAATTTAAAGCTATCTATGTGTTGTCAAACAGTGGCACATCCAAAATTGTGCCAAAGAACTGAATATTATTGTTTTTCCACTGAACAAAACCTGATTGATTGTAAAATTACAAAATAAGAAAACTTTGTGGGAAGTTCATATGCTTAAACATTTATGAGAAATCATAACATAAAAAATTAAATTAATATTCTTACTTAAAGAAATTTAAACAGGACAAAAATATAAATGAACTTGCAAATATTTTATCAAATAGCATTCATAAATATTATTAGCAGAATGAAACCAACTTTTGTGCTGCAGACAATACATTTGAATGACAATAAAACTTAGAATAGTCATTTTACATTTGGATATTGAACCAAGCTGTAACCTACAATTTTTAATACCTAATGGAAGTTACGTCAAACCATAAATGACTTAATAAAATATCAAACTCTCTAATACATCTAAAAACAAGTTAAACAAACTGTAATAAAGATTAAAGGGAATTTATTGGTTATGCAAATGTTTTGTTTTGTAAGCACACAACGAACAATTCCCATTATAAAGAACATATGCTTATATGATAGAATAGATATACAAATGTTCTGTTTAGAACAAAATACAGCGTGGCTTCTTCTTCTTTTTGACTTGTAATGCAGCACGTGTGGCAGTTTCAAATACTTCTCTAACTCCATCTTTACTTTTAGCTGAGCATTCCAGATATGCAAAAGCATTTATTTTCTCAGCCATAGCACGACCTTCTTGTGGTTTAACAGGTTCTTGTTTCATTTTAGCTAGCTCTTTGATCGTATTTGGATCATTACGTAGATCCTTTTTATTACCTACTAATATTATAGGGACGTTTGGGCAAAAATGCTTTACCTCAGGTGTCCATTTCTCGGGAATGTTCTCTAAGGAGTCTGGAGAATCTACCGAAAAACACATTAAAATTACATCTGTATCCGGGTAAGACAACGGCCGCAAACGGTCATAATCTTCTTGTCCTGCCGTATCCCATAAAGCTAATTCTACTTGCTTTCCATCGACTTCGATATCGGCTACATAATTTTCAAAAACGGTAGGCACGTACACTTCAGGAAATTGATCTTTGCTGAAGACAATCAAAAGGCATGTTTTACCACAGGCTCCATCGCCTACAATCACCAACTTCTTGCGGATTGCTGCCATCGGACCTGACAAAACATACACACCGTCAACGCCTATTGACTAACTTAAGATGGCGACAAATATTCATTCATTAAATATACAGGCGGGGATATTAATTTAATAAACATGCAACTGCACCTTTTCCTGAATCTTCACCTCCGGACCAACAACAAAACATCCAGTATGGATATTATGCCCGGTAAATATTTCACGGGCAAAAACTACGTGTTACTTTTTACCACTTAATGATTTAATTTATAAAAATAGCACCTACATATACAATTCTAGACAACCTTCTGCCGCTTCTCCGAACCCGAGCGGCCGGAGCCCGAACCAACCAATGCGACCATAGATAAGAATGCGACCCAAGCCTCTAGAAGGATCAGAATAGCAGTCAAAACGAACTCAAATTAATTATGCCGGAGATGCTCGAAGTCATAAAGTTCGTGCTATAAAAATGATTACAGCTTTCTTATAATGAATTGTTGCTGTTAATTGTAAACCGATTAGCATAATGATAAATTGCTATACACGCTATACTTATCATTATACATATTTTGGGAAAAACGTCTTTTTGATTTAAAATATATTAAAAAAGTTTTGTCGGCTCCTCTGCTCTCTTAAGACGCAAATCATAGACAATTTTTGAAGCATCTATGTGACAGTATGTCATGTCATTATCTATGATCGTATCATACAACAGTTTTCAAGAAATTTAAAACTACATATTAATAGCATCAGACCACCTTTGTTTCAGTTTACCTTGCAAAAGTTAATCACTCTGTATATTCTAGACTTTTTTCGTTAATATCTTCATCAGTGTTTCTTATACCGAATTAAATATTTTTTTTTGTGAATAAAATGGTAAACGTGAACATTTTTAGATGGTAGATATGACTAACAAGGCTGTTTATTATTTTTTTTATTGCTTTGTGTGTAGGTGCTTTTTACAAATTATAATATTACAATATTAATTGAAGTAATATTATACAGAGAAAATGAACAATCAGCTAGAAGTATGTATGTCTGTTTGTATGTACAAACTTATTATCAGTCTGATTAACGATACTTTTTTTGTATAGTGTTTCATATGCTTAACTGGTGTTTATCATATACATATGTATGGTTTAAGTTACCATTAGGTCTCAGCGTACGCATTTATTATTACAATAATTAAATATGTTCATGTAAAAATGTGTAAGTCATTTATAAAAATAAAATTCGAAAGGTAAAAACTCGTTTGACACTGTATGTGTTAAGCTGCACAACAAATTTAGAACTTCATACTTTAAAGAAAGCTTTAGTTATTAGCTTAANCTTATCATTATACATATTTTGGGAAAAACGTCTTTTTGATTTAAAATATATTAAAAAAGTTTTGTCGGCTCCTCTGCTCTCTTAAGACGCAAATCATAGACAATTTTTGAAGCATCTATGTGACAGTATGTCATGTCATTATCTATGATCGTATCACTATTTTAAAGTTTTGCTGTTTTATCATCAAAACCGTTTTTATTATATTTAATGTTTTGTGTATTTAATATTGATTGTTTCCTATTCTTTTGTACGGATTGGTCATTAAATCAATATATATTTATGATTACTTCGTTACCAGCAGAATATAGACAACTAAATAGTGCAAAGATGAAGTTGTTCTCTTGTCTTGTTAATATTGAAGCATCTGGAGGTGAAGTCCTTTGTTATTATTAAGTGCAAAGTAATTAACATTTGAATATTGTTTAATGTGTTATAGGTAATGAAGTATTCCTAATATTAGCCCTCTTTCATTCTAGGCTGTAGCAGTACTTGGAGGAAAGAAAGGCTATTTTTCAAGAGGAAACAGAAGCAGTGTGTTGCTGTTACTAAAGGAAAGATACGATAGGTAAATAAATGAAAGATAATAAATGTAAAATCTGAGAAACCCCAATCTCTTACACATTTGTAACCTACTTTTAACAGGCATGTTCCAAAACCTCTTCACAAATGAAAAAAGGCAGAACAACAGAATCACAGTAAAACAACATTCTTTCTAGCATACAAAAAAATTAAATATACGAGGTGTTTATTTTGTTTTTGAATGGCACATTATGAATCTATTACTTTCCTTTTCACCTCTATTATAGCTCAGCAGATTTAACTGTTTTACATGCATTTTGGTGTTTTTTATATTCAAATTTTATATCTTGTTTATTTAAACCTAATTAATTCATTTTTCTTGCCCATTTCTGCAGATTGATGAACAGTGAGAAAGAAAGTCAGTAGTCTCTACTGAAGCAACCAATGTCTGCAGTTTTAATGTTTTTCATGGACTTAATTTTTCATCTTCAACTAGCAACATTATGAAGTTAATTCTGGACCAATGAACAAGAGCAACTGAAAATATATTTGGACCACATTGAATCAACAGACAACCTGTAATGGTAAGTTTCATTCTGGATTTAGTTTGTTTTTCTTTCTTGGAAACTTTGGAAAATCATATTCTAATATATTTCTAGTCTAAATTAACTACATTTGTAGTAACAAGTGAAAATATCAGTAGTCTCTTCAGAAAAAAATGCTTTTGATCTGAAATTATAAAATTCATAAATGAAATATTGACCATTTGATCACTTTTAGAACTAACAGTATGTGTATTAATCTGCAAAGTGAAATTTCTGAGTCTGATTAGGAATCATAAATCAATAACATTTTGCTTCATATTTTGACGAAATGTTTAGTTTACGTATGCTTTCAACTTTCAACAGAGTATGTTGGGTTGCCTAATCACATACTTAGTTTCTGAGAAATAATTTCTGTATTTTATGATTCTGTCCATCAGAGCTGATTTTTCATGCGTTCGACAGGTCTGGACTTGAAACTTTTGTGAGGTGGTTACTAAATACTATTGATATTCTTGTTGATGTTTAAAACTAGTTTTAACTTTGTAATTATAATGTATTGGGTGAATGTCTTGAGTGAATTTCACAAAATTGATAGTAACTGCACATGTCAATATTAATCTCTTAGAATTGACAAATATTTTTTATAAAAGGAAATATTATAAATAACGTTAGGGTTAAAATAAAAGAGAATTGCTTTTTAGTATTTCGGCAAGAGTTTTTGACACTACCAGAGTAGGTACCTAGATAAACAGATTTAGATTTTAGATATTTATGTAAGTCCACTTGAAAAAGGTGTAATGTGTCGAAACAATTGTAGAGTGTAAAACACTCGTTTGACAGCACCTTTTTTGATTCTAAAACTTTGCAGTTTCGAATAGTGAAAATTGCAAATGTCATAACTTGAATAGTTTTCAAAATTTACTTTTAATTCAGTACTTACTTTCACACACAATTAAAGTACAATTATTTCGTAATTGTTTGCATATTTTGAAATATTTTCAAACGTAAATTAAGTTAATGAAAATTATGTTTGAATTCAGTGAGCAAAATATTTTGCTGAATCCTTCTCTGTTTTGTAGATTCTATATCGTTCATTCTCTCATCATTCAAAGGAATGTGTTGTTTTACACAAACATGTTGAAAGTAGAAGGTTTTTTTAACGGTGTTTTTACGTACATCTATGTAAAATGTATGTTTATCTTTGTTTGTTATCTCTTGAAGAGATTTTTTGCTTGGCAGCTTGATAACTAGCAAAGAATAATATTGTATAATAGACGGTTTTCATACATAAATGTTGATGTAGTAGGACAAAAACTAAAATAAAAATACATGTAGGAGTGGCTCTCAATTCAACGTTTTCATTAAAAAATGCAAGAAGAAATATAAATAAGAAACTGTTTGTTAATAGTTCATAATTTATTAATAAATAGTTTAAAACTTTAATTAAAAGTTAAATATTTATATTAAGCTTTTTGCTTTTAATGAAAAGTGATTAATCACTTCTTCAATGCCAATCTGCAACCAGAAAGCTCACCCTTTGTTGCGACACAAATTTGTTAATCCTCATTTCCCTCTTTAATTTTGAAAATTCCTTCTCTATTGCACCCTTACGTTGTACAAGGAACCCTCTGTGCAAAATTTTGTGTTGCATTACAATCATATAAACAACTATAAATTGAAAACATGTTCACTTTTTTATTTATTAATTCGTTGAATTGATGTTACATGTAATACCTATGACAATACAATAATCATGACATATCTACAGATATGTGCATCCCACATCTGTAAGCAGCTCAGTCCCCCTTAAGAAATTAATTAAATTAAAATATCTAAAATTGTAATTGAAAATATCAACCATGTATTTGGATCATTTATTAAAAATTGTAAATTCTCACATAATCTGTATTGTTTCATAAGTCAAGTCTCTTTTCAAAAACATTTTAAAATACTTACTATCTGTTTATTTTAATTTTTTTATTGGATATTGAATTTTACATTGATTTATGCAAAAAAAATTCATCTTTTAATAAATATATNGAGAGAGAGCATAATTCATAGTGCAAAAAGAAAAAAGTTACTATCTTTCTTCTTAATCTCTAATGCGCCTTTTTTTAATTTACCAATATATCTCTCTCTCTTGTTTTCGATTAATTTTGAAGTTGTGATCAGGCGATGGCACTACATTTATTTCAACTTTATAAAACAAGTCTACAGGATTGGCTAAATTACGAAATATTTGCCGCGCAGCATAGCAGAAACCTAATGTAGTGCTTCTGCTCAGCATTTCATACGTCATCAGAGCTTCATGCAGCAGCTTTCGCAAATCTGTGCACACTGTTCGTTACCAAGCCACCATGCCAGCCATGATCGCGTAATTACAGGAAGTTTTGTTGGTATATTTTACGATGATATTCAATTTACCGAATTAATTTTCCATGTAAGTAGCTTTATTTTATTGCAAATAAAAAGCTTACGTTTGCAATTTTCTATTTTAAATGAGAAAGGAATTAAACTCATACATAAGTGCATTTTTAAATTGTTTTAAAAGTAACAGCAAGCTGCCATTTTAAAAGTGACCAATTTACTTGATTCTGGGTGCTTGCATTTACTGTATTTCATTTTGCAGTTTGAAACTAATTTAACTAAGCATGTCTAAATACGTTTTCATTTTGCAGGAACATCATAAAAACTCGAGGTACCATGAGTTACTGAGCATTCGTCAGATCAATCCTTTTTCACTCTAGCATATAGCAGTACCTGAAGGATGCCTATAGGTGCCTTTTTTCGTTTGGAAACAAATGCAGTGTGTTCCTGTTGCTAAAGGAAGGATGTGCCACAAAAAATTGGTAAATAACGAGAAATAATTTTTATTGAATGATTAGTTATTGAGTATAGCAGATGTTTATTTTGCTTATTAATGGTACAGTTTGTGTCAATTATTTTTCCTTCCACTTATTGGGATCTAATGACAGTTTATTCTTTTTTTTTTCTATATTTTCACAGATTGGCTATAAATATGGGTGGATGAATGCTCATTTTGATGCTACTGAAAAAACAGATTGTCTGCTAGTGTTCTTTTCATCTTGGAGGAATTTAAGTTAATTAAGGTGAGTTTAAGTGCTATGATATAAATATATATATTTGTTAACTTTAACATTGTATTATGTACGTTATTTGTAAATTGTAGATGAGGCCCCAGAAACGTCATTTTCTTAGATATTTGTAACATACATTCATTTCAGTGGACTACTTTTAAACAGCTTTTCAGAAATGGCAGACGCAGAACAGCAGAATTAATGTGAAATTCACATTCTCTTCAGTGTGAAAGTTAGTTTCCTAACTATACTGCCACATCAGCACATTAAACATAACTGATTTAATTGTTTTAAAAGTGGTAATTGATTACATTTTCTTGTCCGTCTCTGTAGATTGCCGAACAAATGAGATGGAGTTACAATTAATTAATTAGTGCTACTGAAAGCACCAGTGCTTTTGATGTCTTCACATAATGCAGTTAATTTTGGGCCTGTGAGAGAGAAGCAACTGGAAATTGGAAACCATTGAAACAACAGATTTGTCTGCCGTGGTAGCCCTCGTGGATTTGGTTGCAGTTGATTAAGGTGAGAATGCGTGACATAATATTAATTGCTATTTATAAATTTTTTATTGCATTTCTTAATAATTTTTGCCCACAGCATAAATTGAGGTTAAAGTGAATCTATGGTATTTTAACAATTATCTATTGTTATCAGCAGAAGTATAGGTTATTATGCGTCTGTTGTGTTGCCCTTAACAAATATCTATTGTCCACACCTTAGATTGAAATCATTCATCTATTATCTATGCATTCATCTATGATTGTCATTTATGTAAATTGACAGTTATCGCCATTTTATAATTCAGATATTTTACTTGCTTTTTGCTACATATTTTTAGCTGTGTTAATGCTTAATCGTCAATTAATAGTGTAATTAATATATTTTTTGTTGATTTCTGCAGATTGCCCAACAAACGAGAGAATTACAATTCAGTTTGGTCCCACTGAAACAACTAATGTCTACTGGGGTGTGGTCTTTCATGGACTATATTCTTGATTTGCTGATTTTGTCTTCGCCTTGCAACATTTTTCAACTGACTAGTGAGAACAACTGGAGATTTATTGGAGTTCCACTAAAACAACAAATTTTCTGCTATGATATTCCTTCTGGATTTGGTTTGCTTTTCACACATGCAAACTTTGGAATGTTACAGTTAATTAAGGTGAGAATACTTGATATAATTAACTTTAATTGCTCATTATTAATCTGTTACCACCGTATCTGTTTCAGATCGACGTTGGAGAAGACAAAGATGACCCCATAGTTGAAATAGTTCTTTTGTCTTGCATGGTCTATATAGTAGAATTCATTAAGTTGATTTTATTCAAATTAATTTTTTATTTTGCATGTTTTATGTAGTTAATTTGAATTAGTTTTTATTTTGCATGCTTCATTTTATTTGAATTAATTTTTGATTGTAGATGTTTTTATTTTTTTAAAATAGTAGTAGTGTAGTAGTAATACTTACTAATCCGTTGAGTAGTTGTAGTATAGTCTAATATGTCTCTTGCTTACCTCTTCGCTTAGCTTACTGCATATTCTTACTATAAATTGCTTTGCATTTACCCTACGAGTTCTACATGATTCAACGTTTCGTTATCGTGTGTGTTTCTTCTCACCCTTGTGGAATTAGGGAGGGCCTCCCCGAACGACTTCCCTTGGGCTTAGCTATTTAGTTGATCTTAAAAGTGTCTTATACACTTTTCGCGAGTCTACTCTAGCGTTACTTCCTTTCAGACAGGGTACAGTGGGTTATCTGGAATAGGAGCAATAGGCGACTGCCCAGCTTGCCTTGGCGAAATCTGTCCGATCTTCTCTACCAAAGCTATTAGTATTTGTCGTTAGTCCTTGTAATTGCACTATTCGCTTTCAGGTAACCGAAGAAGACTGAAGACATCGTATTGTTTGCTTTTTATTGTATTTTCTTTGAAATTTCATGTGTTTTCTTGTCTTTCTCTTACAGGTATTTTGTTTATTACTTTATGAACTGTTATATTATGTAATTGTAACTTAGAATGATAGTTAAAACGTTTCTAAATTGATCTTTTGGCATAAATGTTAAAGTTAAATTAAATATTTGTTAACGCTTTCACAATTAAAATTCATTTGGGTGGATAGGGTGGCTATAAGGGGAGATGCGGAGGCCACAGAAGGTTAGGGAGATTTTTTTTCTCCTTAATCTTGTGTTTAAATGGTAATGTAACAGTTTGTAAGTAATATATGGTTTTTATTGCATATAAATGTGATTCGTTTTCTTTCTCTTACAGGTGTTTTTCTTTTTACTCTATAAAATGTTAATTAATTTCCTGGTTTTGTAATTGTATTCACTTTTATAAGTCCCTAGAAACTGTTAGTTATTAAATACGTTATACATATTATGTATTAAACTATTAATTAAAATAAATATGTTGTAATTAGTGTAATTAATAAATATATGAGTCTAATTAATAAATATATTTTAACTTTATTAGCTTTTTTATTGAATCTTTAATATAGAAGTAATTTATTGAAGAATTAAGCAAAAATTTTCCCTACAAGAGGAAATTTAAAACTTATAGATAAAAAAAAGCAATTCGAGCAATAAATTTCAATTATTTTATAGTACTATTGAAGGCCGAATTACGTAAAATAACAGAAAACAAAACTGCCATATAGTTGATCCCGCGCTAAAAATTAGAACTCTGAAAAAGAGCTTTCGCGACTTATGCTCTCCTAATACAAATTTTCAGATTTAACAATATTTTCAGTTTTGCGTCATATACGAGGGCTAGTCAAAAAGTTATGGAAAATCAAATTTCAAAAATCCTAAATCCATTACTTTTTGACTAACATTCGTATTTGGCTCAAAACTGAAAATTTTCATAAATTTCAACATTTGTATTAGGAGAGCATAAGTTGCATCGGGTCTTTTTCAAAAAACAACTTGAATTTTCCATTACTTTTCGACTAACCCTCGTATTTGGCTCAAAACTGAAAATTTTCATAAATTTCAACATTTGTATTAGGAGAGCATAAGTTGCATCGGGTCTTTTTCAAAAAACAACTTG